CGAACTATGGCCTAATACAAATTTTCACGCCTCTCAGTTTGCCGATCAACATCAATAAACTCACCACAACAATCACCTATCTTTCTGAAGACCTCACGATACAACAAGTGAAACAAACGGCCTTCTATAGCAAGCAATCCCCCCAAGAAAGAAACTTTGCTTCTAATTAATTTGAATCAAGTGTCGCCTCTATAACCTTACCTTAACAGATTCATTGACATGAACCAATTCTTTCATGCAAACTTCCTCCGCCTTTCTCCTGTCATTGCAAAAACAAAGGGTTTTGTCTGTCTAGAATGCATGCAATTTAACCTCCAATTCCAAAAAACCCCCCCACCAAGGCTTCTGTAATGGTACTCCAAGAAAGTACAAGTTCTCCCTTATACATACCATTGTGCACTTCCATCTCTATTCTTCTTTTAGTATCATTTCATCCTCCTTAACAGCAACCTTTTTTCAATATAAATTTATTATCTATCTTTTCAACCTCCCCACCACTTCCACCCATTATCTATAACCTTACCTTAGCAGACTCATTGACATGAACCAATTCTTTCTTGCGATCTTCCTCCGCCTTTCTCCTATCATTGCAAAAAAAAAAGGGGCTTTGTCCGTCTAGAATGCATGCAATTTAACCTCCAGTCCCAAAAAACCCCCACCCAAGGCTTCTTTAATGGTACTCCAGGAACGATACAAGTTCTCCCTAATACATACCACTGCACACTTCCATTTCTCTTCTTTTAGTATCATCTCATCCTCCTTAACGGCAACCTTTTTCAATATAAATCCATTATCTATATTTTCAACCCTCCCCACCACTTCCACCCATCCCCTGCTTTTGTTCTCCAACAACAGAGCAAGCCTTCAGCCACTTCGGCCACTAATAGCCTCATCTAATAGCCTACCAAAGCTTTATCATCCACTTCCTTCATCACCTTTAGGAATGATTAGTCCCATCCTTCCATTATTCATAAATTTCGTGATTCTAATGAACTCTCCAAATGTATCTCTTTTTCAACTCACACAAAATCCATCTCCCCTATACTTTTTGAAGAAAACATCGCTCTTTTTCCATCTCACAACACTTCCTAGTGAATTTTTTAACCAATCCACGCAGCCTATATTGAATAAACATTCGAAGGAACATCAAAATACCCAGTTAATCCTAACCGACACAAAACAGTAAATCCCTGCTAAAGTAAATGCCTAGGAAATCCCTGCTTAAGTCCATTGGAAACCCATTGTTTAAGAGATATTCGAAGAGGACTAATACAGTGGTTTTCAAAAGGACCATTGATCTGAATATACTTTTTCAACTACTTATTAAGAAAAAGAAACAGCTTCTCAAAGATCCAATAAAAGATTTAGATTTAACCAAGTTATTTGTATGAACATAAAACTTTTGATGAGAAGATACTAGGGAACTAGAGCAAGCACCGCAAGTTTTAATATCACTCTATAATAGTTTTGTTGCCCTTGCATACTTTAACAATTACATTATCACTAACTAGCTATAACCACATGTTGGAAGCCATTCTTCAATACCAAAAATCAAGCATCAATCGTGTAACATTTATATTTTAAATAGTAATTTATTTTCTTTAATTATGTAATTTAAAATTAAAGAGAACAGAGAAAAAATAAGAGAGCGTTAGGGGACAGACAAAAAAGAAATAGGTGTGGATTAGTGGGGTTAACAGGCATTGGGGGGGTGTTAGTAGAATTATCATTGGGGGTGTGGATGACAGATAATGTTTTTGAGCAAAAAAAAAATTAAGATAAATTTTGTACCATTAGATCAAAATAATCAAAATTAGATCAATCTTAACCCTTTTTGTACTTATATAAGATGAGAATTCGACTTCCTATCCCTTCAATTATGCATGCCTGACTTTGTCCATACAAAACATGCCTTCAACACCTTTAAGGTGTTCGGTCCAGGCCTGATTATGCAAGAGTTCGGGTGAAAATTGAAAGAGAGAATACAAAGACCGAAGCCGAAGGAAAGGAGGCTGAAGCTTCCGGTGTCCATAAGGCTAACAAAAGGGGCTAGCAACAATGAGTTTGTGATTTCATATCGAGAAGTAGTCACTTTGTTCAAATAATATCAAAAGTCAAGCCTGCACCCAAAAGCTTCCCACCTCAAAATACCCTCGAAGCCTCAATTAACAGGAACCAAACTACAATATGACCGAACTAAATACAACATATGTAACAATGCATTTGTCATAAAAAAAATTTCAAAAAAAAAAAAGAAACAAACACTGAAATTTGAAGAGCATAGAAGGAAATTATTTAAACAGTACCTTTCCTTCAGGGTGAAAACATGGGTGAATAATACCATTCATGTCTAAGTACAAATTATCAAACTCCATGCCGTTAGGGTTTGGTCTCGATATATCGACGGGTAAGAGCACCCCATTTCGATCCTCCTTCGGCAAATCCTCCTTCACGTCCACAATCGACTGAGGATACCGATCCGCCAGCCACCTGTAAAACGCCGGAACTCCCATTTTTCTTCTACTTTACTGAATCCAAATCTGTATGAAGGTTAATGTGTTCTTGTGTATATATATGTACAGCGGTTAAGATTGAGGAATGTTAGCCGTTGAAGGAAACGTTAGGGTTTTCAGGAATTCTAAGAAAAATGAGGTTTTGTATAAAATGTTTTGCCCACGGAGGGGGGAAGCGTGTTGTTTGGGGAAGAGAGGGAGGTTAGGACTACTTCGTTGAATTGTTTAATTGAGGGCTTGCGATCCGGAAGATCTGTAAGTTTTATTCACGCCATACGGCAATAATGGAGTCTCAGATGGATGGCGCTGGAAACATTTGAAAGGACCATATTGCCCATGACACGGAAAAATTACAAAGGCCACATTTTTCCTTTTCATTTGACAGAATTAAACTCAGACTCTCAAGATTCGCTTAATCACTTAAATCTCTTGATATTTAAAATATTATATACATACTTTATAAAATTTGTACTCGCGTAACACTTAAATTTCTGTCGTCAAATATCCATTAATATATCCATTAATAAATTATATATAGACCTTCTGAAATTTGTAAACGTATAATACTTAAACTCCTCAAAATTAAAATATTATACTTAAATAAAAATACTTCAATTAAAGATAAAATATCAATTATTTTATGTTTTATATCCAAAAATTCATATTCTATTGTATCATTTATTAAAATAAAATAAAAAATAAAAAGCCAATTTTTTCTTAAAAAATCATAATTAGTATACAATTATATTATCTATGTGAATACAACTAAAAAATCAAACAATAAGTATAAGTCATTCATATTCATACTAGAACATGAATTTTACAACCAAAATTCATGTTTTATTATGTCATTTATTAAAATAAAATCAAAAATAAATTCTAATTTTTTTTTAAAATATCATAATTAGTATACAATTATACTATTTATTGCAATAAAACTAAAAAATCGAATAAAATGTCAAACTGTAATTTACACAATATATGCTAGCTTTAATTGGGGTAATTTGATCTTTTAAACAACCAACATAAATTTCAATATATAGTATAATTGTATACTAATTATGATTTTTTAAGAAAAATTAGATTTTTAATTTTAATTTTAATTTTATTTCAATAAATGTCATAACATAACATAAATATTGATTGTAAAATTTAAAATATTTAATATTCTATCTTTGTTTGATTAATTTTTAGTTTAAATATAATACTTTAAACTTAAGGGATATAAATAATACACGTCTAAAACTTTAGGAGGTTTAGATGTAATTTACTAACAGATATAGTAAACGGCAGGAATCTAAGTGTTACGCACGTTCAAACCTTAGAGAGTTTATGTGTAATATTTCAAATGCTAAAGAGTCTGAATGATTAAGTGATAAACATCAAAGAGTTCAAGTATAATTCTTCATTTTTGTTTTAGTGAGCGAAAATAATTTTTTTTAGGTAAGTCGAAAAGGTATTTATTCTACACGTATTAAGACCATTTCTAGCTCTTATACAAACCTTTATTTAAATTTGAGTCAAAAATGGAAAAAAAGCTAGACCTCTCCAACGGATAAATTATTTTTTTTACTAAAATCTTTTCAAAAAATTCTCATGTTATCCCAATAGCTCTTATTTTTTTTCATATTTCCCTCCAAAACCTTTTTTACTTCTTTACCCTCCAAAACCTCATTCCCCCTCAATTTTTATTCCTTCCTTATTTTTTTCCTACCATTTTAACTCTTCCCTCCAATTTTTGCCAATATTTTCTATAAACAACTTGTATCATTGACATAAATTTTCAATATTCTCAATAACAATGAATCCTTTCAAATATTCTTTGCTCACTTTTTTTTCATCTTCCTCTTCCTCTTCTTCTTTATCGGATGACGAAGAAATCATCTTAGTTGTGGCTCTAGACAAAACAAATAATGTCACAATATTAAAAATCTTAAGAGAAGAGGTACAACAACCAAACCAACATGGTGGTTCCGTTCTTGGGCGAAAACATATTTATTGTGAAAGACAAAAGGGTCATGATCGATTGTTCACTGACTATTTTGCTGAAAATCCAACTTATCCACATTCAACATTTCGAAGGCGCTTTCGAATATCATGTGATCTATTTAAGGGCACTCTCAATGGTATTAAAGCACACAACTCTTATTTTGTTCAAAAAAAGGATGCATGTCATGTCATTGGATTGTCATCTCTTCAAAAAATGGCATCCTCAATTAGAATACTCACATATGGAATGGCTGCAAATGTCATGGATGATTATTTGCGCATTAGGGAAAGCACAGCAATTTTAAGTTTTAAATTTTTTTGTCAACCGGCTATTGAAATTTTGATGAAGAGTATCTCAAATCTCCAAGGGAAGATGATATCGTTAGATTACTTGCCATTGGAGAGGCTCGTGGGTTTCCTGGGATGTTGGAAAGCTTGGATTGCATGCATTAGGAATGAAAAAATTGTCCAACTGCATGACAAGGTTAATATTGCTATCATATAAAAAACCTATTATAATTTTTGAAGTTGTAGCTTCTTATGACTTGTGGATCTGTTATGTCTTCTTTGGAATTTCGGGATCTCACAATGATCTCAATGTTTTGGATCGTTCTTCTCTTTTTTATGAGCTTGTCCAAGGGCGAGCCCCTCCTACTAGTTACTCTATTAATGAAAACACCTACAACATGGACTATTATCTTGCTAATGATATATATCCTACATGGGCAACACTAGTTTGAACTATTTCTTCTCCAAAAGGAGCAATGAGACAACATTTTACTATAATGCAAAAGTCAACAAGAAAGGATGTGGAGCGAGCATTTGGAATTCTTCAAGCTAGGTTTGCAATTATACATGTACTTGCATGTTTTTGGGATCCTACAACACTTGGGGATATCATGAAAACATGCATTATTTTGCACAATATGATTGGGATTGTCAAAATTCGACATGACATGATTAACCGACACGAATCGACAAGAATTTAACGTGTTTGGGTGAGATCTTAATGGATTTGGATGATAAACGGGTTAACACACCAAACACATTTAACAAACGAGTCATGTTAGGATGAGACCTGTCAAATCATTTATTACACGTTTAAATAAAATTAATATAATAATTAATTAATAATTATTTTGAAAAAATTAGCAAGAAAAAAGAAGTAAAAAAATCAATACCAAAAAAAAAAAAAAGTAGTAGTTCAAAGACAAAGAAGGAGAGATTGAGAGCACTTCAAAGACAAAGGCAAACCAATGTCTTTTATTTTTGTCCCACATTGAAAAATGAGAGGAGGGGGGAGGGTTGAGTTACTTATAAAAAAGCAATGACCTCTTGTCTTTTTTTTTAAGCATTCAAGTTTGATTTTTTATGAGATTTGGCTAAAAATTCTTCTTTTTTGAGGTAAGTACAATTAGAAGTAAAAAAAAATTGGAGTATTAAAATTTGTTGATATAATTAATTTAAAATTATATGGGATAAACGAGTCGTGTCGTGTTACCCGTTTATTAAACGAATCATGTTCGTGTTGAGATTTTTCACTCGTTTATTAAACATATCGTGTACGGGTTTACATATTTTTCACCCGTCACCCGTTTAACGTGACACGTAACGGTTTAACCCGACACGTTTGACACCCCTAAATATGATTGTCGAAGATGAATGAGATGGCTATAACAATTTTGACTTCGAACCATCAGAACATAGCCCATCAGTAACAGTTTCACAAGAATGTAATAATGACTATGAAGCATTCATGGCTTGTCATGTAAGAATTAGACACAAGGATGCTTATCATGCCCTTCGCAATGACCTAATTGAGAATTTGTGGCAACGCCATGGAGAGATGAAGTTACTTGTTTACTTTACAATGTATCTTCCAACCTACTTGTTTACCTTGCAGATCCATTCCAAAAAGTAGACTCAAACAAACAAACATAAACATCAGTATAGTAACAATTATAATAATCTGGGAGTTGCAAGAGTTGTGGCACTTTTACGCCATTTATTCATTTAGCTTACAAACACTAAAATGAAAATGTGGAACAGTAGCAAACATCCATTGGTCAAAACAAATACTAAATTGATGCAGTGAATTTAAAACCTATACGCACTTTGTCGAACAATTATTTGTCGTTGAAGATCCTATTAGTATGAGCTCTGCATAGAAGTTAAAATTGGTTATATCCATTGACATAATTTTATGGTCTTCTTTTTGTGTTCTTTTTCATTCATCATTTTTAACATTTAAAGTTGGGCTACCTTATTCTTAGCCTTCCTCCCATGATTTGCTACTTTTTGTTGATCACGTTCAATAGCTCAAGTGGACATACCCGCCAAAAATTCAATAATTTTAGTTTGATTGTATGCAATATCATCAAACCTAGCATCATGAATTATTTTCTTCCTTTTTGATTCTTTCTCAACGTTGTTACCATTTGGTCTTTTTGAGTTCTCTTTTGAATGTTGTTTGTATGTATCATAGTCGAAGGACACTAGAGTCGAAGGAGTCAAATGCAATGAAGTTTGGACTGCAGGACTCTTCAAATGTGTTCTAAGTTCATCCCACTTACAATTGTGGTGCAATATTTTCCAACATGTATCAATGTGAAGTATTTTTTTTGAATAACATAATAAGGGCATATAGCCTGGACAATCTGAAATATAAAAAAAAAATTATATTTAAAACTACAATTATATACAACTTATTATTATTTGTTGTTTGAAGTAATTATCTTGTCAGCTTCCCCAATTCCACTTTGTTGTCTCATTTGTGCTTGCTCTAAAAAACCAAAAAGTTTGTTCACCACCTTTTGAATCAGTGACCAACAATGAGATAAAGAAACGATAGTTCAATGTGGTAGAACATTTGATTAGGAAGAGAAAAACCCAAGAACACAATTGCAAAACATCGCCTTACTTTGGGTGTTACATGAAATTGGATCTTGGGAGATGGTCAACCAAGCTTTACAGAGTGATTCATCTTCCAATATACTAAAAGCTTTGCCACGAACAAGAGAAC